GCGTGGTGGTGCAGTGCAATTATATTCATTTTATTTACATTGCAATATATTAATCTCTTTGAGGCTTACGGATTTATGAGAAAATTCAAATTCTCTATACTAAGTGAAATGTTGTTCAGGTTACATTTCTATTCTGTAGTTGTAAACAGTATAAATACTTTCCTTCCACTGAAATGTAATATATGTAATGACCTAGTTTCACTTTTTCTTTCCACACTTTTTCATACATCTTAAGTATGAGAATATACAATGGGTCATGTGAATATCATCAATAACCGAAGTGCATCCAGGGTAATAAATAACCGACAAACATCAGCCTACCCAAATATAATTAACTAATGTCTGTAAAAAATGTTAACTACTTATAAGTAGCTAAATTCATATGATCTAATTTATGAAGCCTTGTGACTATTGCATTATTTTCAAGAAAGAAGATATGAACAGTGATTAGACCAATTCGCTAAAGTTTATTTGTATTCTAAAGTTTGGAAATTAAATTAGCAATCATATGAAGCTCATAGGATTAGGATAATATTTCAATAATAAAAAGTATACTGGACTTCACCAAATGTCGTTACATAGAGGTAGAATTCCGTAATGGAAAAAGACATTGAAACAACCGTGCACTCAATCAGTTTGAATGAATTCAGCCGCATAACTCACAATCGGATATAAACGCACCTCGCTGGAAATATGAGCTTCTCAACATTGCAGAAAATGCGACACTTCAGATTATCTATTAATTCCGACTAGATCGCTAAATCAAAATCTGTTCAAAAGTTCTGTTCACAGTTGAGCAAAGTCTTTGAAGGTCGAACGCTGTAAAGCAAGTTTTCTACAAACGCTTTAAGGTATCCTCTTTGATTTGCTAGAGTAATCCTTGATAAATTGGAATTAGAAGCCGCATCTCTGGGACCTGGATTTCGTAGTATTGATAAAGAAATAACCACTACAGAACGTCGGGAGGCTGTAGAAATGTTATGCCTGAATAAAAACATGACATCATTACAAGGCGGAGTAAGGGGCCTGGATTCGCAAATATGAACAGACACGATTAGGTAGAAGAAATGAATTCTTTACTGGAGGATGGAAGCAAGTTTCAGAGATCAAAATTAATGAAAAGTCAAATGATTATATCACTGAAGTAACTAAGAGAAGAGTAGTATGTCTCACCAACAGCATACGAAAACCTAAAACCCACAGGCAGCAGTATTTGACGCATTTCTTTAACAAATCAGCAGTACCACTCCATCCGGACACAGATGCAACGCATTCATCTTACTGTCAGACGGCGAATTGGCTGGTACAGTTACCTCAACTTCTGTATGACGAATTAGTGGTGAACAGCATCAAGGATGCCTTTTAGTTTGTCAATAAAATGAAAGACCTAAACACAACCGAGAAATATATAACATTCCTGGACGCTATACATTTACTTAGTAATATCCCTGTAGTGAGAACTGTCATTTATATCTGAAAACAAATGATAGACAGGAACCTAAACACTAGTATTATTTTATTAATAATAAAGTAGTATCCTCACTGTTAATCTGAAGGAACTGCTGCTTACAAGTAAAACAAATTTGCATTTCCTGTTTATTATTTAAATTTACATACAGGTTGGTACAGTAGCTATGGAATCTCTAATTGGTCCTATATTTACAGATGCACTTACAGAGGAACTAGAGATGGTTCGTTAAAAGATGAATTAGTGATAAATCGATAATTGTTTTGTAGTCTACGAGCACCACTTCAGTGGTGCTCACCTAGAGGACCATTTCAACTACAAAGAAGAATATAATATCTGTTAACACTTTATGGACGATTCACTTAAGTGAAGATAGGAGATGAATTCATCAGGGAACCATTCTTAAAAAATGTCGAAACTACAGCTCAATATGTACACTTCCTTAGCTTTGTCCTAATGAAACAGAAGAGAAATTTGATCAAATGCCTTGTATTTAGAGCAAGATCAACTTACTCGGAAGACTGTACAATGAAAGAACTCCCCATCATCTGACATATTCTAGGCGAAGTCCACAGAAGTTTGTAAAGTCCAACAGGGCTCACGGCGGTTGCAAACGTGAACTGGCAATGGTGAAGAAAAAGTCTCTATCTTAGCACTTACATTTTAAGGGGGATACTCCTACAGTAATTCTATCCCAATATCTAACCAAAGCAAAAAAGGTGGTTTTTTGATCTGAATGAAGGTAAATGATGTCTTGCCTAATCTTAGCTCCTCCTCATATGTATATATACCGTTTCAGCTGTTCCTGGGGTTTCGCTTAAATGGAGCGTATGATCAAGTACCTTCACATGCGGATTCAAAAACATCTACCAGCTTGGTTCAAAAAGTATGAAATCAGATGTACAAAAAGTTCGATTCTGTTACAGTTGGTACAGACAAGATATCTCATTGACTTTAACATTTAACACATTCCGAAGTAATCATAACATACACAGATCACCTGCACCTTCATCATTTAATCGTAGCTATTGTGATAAGATTCGTATTCAAAAGTAACATGTTCAATCGTCGTTCCTATAGTAGTCAAACGTGGATTGAAAGTTTTACTCTTCATGGATTTTTCTTCCCACTTTCTTTCGGTGTTCTATTAGTCCAAACAGTTTTAGTAGTAATGCCTTATAATCTGTGCCCTTGATTCTAGTATTCTTCGAACGCTGACGAATTTTTCATACATGTAGACATGAGCAAGCCAATCTGATTTATTATTACTATATGACTGCACCTCATTCATTTCGCATAGGGATTGTTTTATGATGAACTATTTGACACGGTGTTACTATCTCCTGTTTGATGTATACTATTTTGCACCATCCATTCATCAGAAACGCATTGCATTACTGAATTAACCTGTCAACTCCCCAGCCCTTCGCAATGTCTGAATTTAGCAAGACTGATCATTCTCATCATGTCTCACTTCACAATATTTCGTGACTACATTCAACCCACCATATTTGTCACAGAGATTTGCCTCATTAACAGATAGTCCTCAGAGGCTTTAGAATGGACAGTTATACAAGTGAATGTTACGGAGAACGTATAGTGACAGGATCCGCGATTTCCACTCTAGTTATAGAAGCCTATCATAACTTTTAATTATTACAGCGGCCTGCTTAAATCATTGGGCTACCCAAATTTTCCTCCCATCAAAATGAAAATTGTTTCTGCTCCGTTTCAAATTGCTTTATTTTCCTAATTAACACAGTACTTCGCATAATTTAAAATTTCTATCTACCGCTAGAAGGTTTTCTGAAGAAATGTATGAAGAACATTGTGGAACAGCATTGCAGCATACTTTGGTTTGAATATTATTGCTTCAGATGGTATATAATCGAGTATTATACTATTTGAAGATTCTGTGAAAGGGGTAAATAGCTTGCTATGAGACTCACTGAAATTCGATGATATGTATAAACGCATTTTTGAGAATGAAGCTATTTTCATTATTACATTATTGCATACATAAGGGATTGCTTGATTACTGTTCACTAGTAAAGTGGTCTTCTCACATTTTTAAAGTCAGTAATGACACAGTCACCCTGTCACCACCCATACAACAATTTCATATTGATTCCCGAAGAAATATGTTCGACTGGTGTTCGCTTGTGCGTGTGTATGTGTGTGCATGTACCTAATATTTTGTATCTTGAGGTTTTACAACTGTCAGCCATCCGATTGTCTTTTATTTTTCTCTGATAAATTAGTAATAAATTGGATCAATAATCTAGTGAGATAGTTATTAAAGTGAACTTTACTAAAAAACCAGCATCAGGAAACTAGAAAACTATTAAAAACCGTTTGTAACGAGGCATCAATTTTATCATGACAGGCTGAAATAAGAGTTACAGAAAAGGACAAGTCAAAACACCGAAAGATGCTGAGGTAGCTAGCCAATCACCTAACTAGCCGATAACAACTAGGGCATATTTCTTGTTCGACTACGTTTTAGGAGTTATGCAATGCTTCAGTTAACTCACTTGAAATAAATAAAAAGGGATTCTTCTAGAAATCACTGACAGAAATGAAAGTGGTGCTTTACCACCTTATTCTATACCTGAATCTGAAGAATACGTATTGAGTAACAGGCATTTATTTAGGACTGAAACTCGCATTACCATAACCAAACTAGTTATTGACCAGATTTCCTAGGATCTAGGTGAGTGATCATAACCTATGCAGGTGACTGTGTTATTCATAGACAGCTGTAGGATGACTGTAATGAACAAATCTTCTGAGCCTACACATGTCAGTCACCACAACTGATCATTAACACACACTGATAACTCTATGAATTTTCGCTTTCTAGCTGAATTGCCGAACTTGAGCTGGAAGTTAGTAACTGATAGTTGGAGAACATTTCTGAAATGGCTCGAAATTTTTCGCTTGTTTTTTCAGAATGTAGCATGTTGAACTACATCGACGTCTAGTCTGTTTTAGCTTTATTATCTAAAGGTGATACCCCTCTGTTTGTGAATAATTCCAAATTAATAATACAGACACTTATTCAGTACTATTATGAGTTTTCATTCTTTCACCAAATGATTTCAATCTGTTGTGAAAATTATTCTGAAGTTAGTCGAATTCTCGAAAGCTATGGAATTCCTACAACACCCCTATAGTTACACACACACACACACAAATTTCATTCTCCCTGAAAGACGGAGAAATGAAAACAAAAAGTAGTTCGGCGAAGTGGCTCTTTTCGGCGGATTCATTTCCTTTTGTAGCTGTACAACTGCATTTATATACAATCTGTTTTTCATGAAATAGAGCAGTAGCAAAAAACAAGTTGTACATAAATTTGATTGTACAGCTAAGAAGGAAAATTAATTCGCTGAACGATGCGTTTTGTTTTCATTATTGTATAAGATGGGGATTATTTATGAAAGCGAAGCAACATTTGTCGTATTTCTCAGTCGATTCGATGCGTGCAATTGCTTCTATGCAGACATGTCTGCCGTCTTATCACGGAGAAGAAAGAAAATGGAATAACACAACAACAACAACGACAAAAACAACAACTGAACTAGTGAAATTTACCCATGATTATAATTTATCCTCTCGAAATTATGAAATAATATGGTACATATACAAAGTGTTGAATGTTGTAACAGTTCATGATGCTTATTTATGTATGCGTATATATATATATATATATATATATATATATGAATAACTATCATTAATATATATTCATCACCATTTCAGATTTTTCCTCACTAAAAGAAGAAATCTATAAGTCTCTTCAAAATAATATACAAAAAATTATCATCAAGAGGGTATCTCTGTTTGTTTTTTCAGTGTTCAGTATTCACTGTGTGAAAGAATTTCATTAATTTGTGGTGTTTGTTTTTCTTTGACAGAGAAGTATGGATAAGACGAAACAAAACAGTAATCAATCGGTAATATAGTGATGAAATGAAAGACGAATTGGAGATTCAAATGTTGGTTTGCAGGGATTTGATTGGTTACAGGGCTTCATCATGAGAACCATTGGTTCTCCGACAGATATCAGCTCATGATGAAATCTTGCAACAAATTGGAGATATCTGATCCGAAATTTAATCTCTGAAGTAATAGGTTATTTGTTCTCACCAGCAAACCATTTCTTTATTTTTGTGGGTTGGGGTGGGGTGGGGTGGGGATGGAGATGTGTGGATGTAAATAAGATATGCGCAAAATGAAATCGTCACTCTTCAAATATATAGACTGGTGCTGACAAGATAATAGTTATGTTATAGATATGATTTTGCACATACAATTACTGATATAAAATAGTCTTTCAGTGATACTGATCAAAATTTATTACTGTACAATGAGTGTTGTTCAGTAGACAGTGAATTCACCCTTACCGCTCAAATTAAAATAGAAGTACTCATCATTTTCGATAGGAACCTAATAAAAAAATTGTTATGACTTTACTGTGATTTGATCATCACTGCTGTCTGATCTTTCAATGCTTAATAATGACTGATGGACTGATTGACGCCGTAAACCAATGGAATTCAAGTAAGCTGAATTACTGTTAGATTCGCTCGGATCTGATTGTATTTTATATATTAATATTGATGGACGATTAACACAAGCTCTGACTTCATTCTCTGATAGATTTTCACCTTCAGAAGATTTGTTTGTAGAATATCTTAAACTAGTTGATGAATGTTCTGTGTGATCTTGTCTCTGTGATGACAAATAAGAATCATTGATGTTAAGCGGAGGATCCATTCTAATTAGCTTTCTTTGACTATCGCCAGTCTGTGTTGGTGAAGTGACTACTGTTTGTCTAACATTAATAATACTAACGCCTTTCTCCATATCTGAATTTGATGGCTTCATTTTCCCTATAGAACTATTATTGTTACTTGATCTCTGATCATTTCGATGAATACTGGGCGGTAGATAGTTGTATTTCTCTTGTTGATATGAAAGATTTGCACTTCTCTCTTTTCTCCGCGGTGATACTGACGTAGACTTTGACTTTTCATCTTGATTAATGTTTAAAGCACTTGTCGTTGTTGTAGGTGGCATACCTGGCCTACTGTTCACTGAATTCAGTGTACAACAGCGATCACTGGTGTTATTAAAATGTGAGAAGATATTTCTTTCACTAGTTGAATTACTCATCTTTGTTGGGCTAAACGTTAAAGAATTATCATTATGCGATCTAGAACTAGAACGTCTTGCGTTTGTCTTTACGATAGATGGTGAGGTAATAGATCTTATACGCTTATCTGAAATACTCATTGCATCGTCCGTATGATTAGTAACAGTGTTACAATGATTACTGTCGTATAAATGTGACTGTGAACTGAAAAACATATTCCGTTTACTAGTTTCCACATTACTGACTGTTGTCGGGTTATCAGCAGACGAAGAAGTAGAAGCAGTAGCAGTTGTATCAATTGTGAAAGCGATGTTACCTTCACCAGTATGATGATGGTGACTGTGTAACTCTGAACTATTCTCTGTTATATCATTTGGCATTAAAATGGTTGATGATTCATCCTTCTGATCAGTCATTATAGGTTGAGCGATAAGTATTTCTGGTTCCATTAACCTACGATAATTTTCCTTTACATTGGATAAAGGCGAGAGAAACAAAAGAATATTTAGAAGAGATGCAGGCGAAGAAGACTGAAAATGATTCATAATTTTCGGTTTTTAAAAGAAATATTTATTTTTCAATAATCTATAGTGAGACTATTTGACGTTGCCCCTGTATTGGAAGACTGTTATTGTACTGTGGTGACGGATGATGGATAAAGCTGAAATGAGAAAATCCTAGTAGCAACATAATTCTAATGGGTGCTTTCAGTGGCATAATAACCTGGCTGCTAACTGAATCAATTAGCTGACTAAGCAGAGTTCAGGACGAAGAATTCGGAAGCTGCTGAGTCGATTTCACCTCCAGTCATCCACCACCCATTGAGTATAAATAACATTCTGACAAGTCAAGACTATCTCAGATAGTCTCACCATCACTTAACAGTATGCTCCTCCTCAGTATGGTTAGGATTGGAAAGAAGCAAAAGCAGGTGCACAGCTAGTGTAATGATAAGCGGACAGATGATATATCACTGATTCACATGAAGATGTCAAAATCAGAATCGGAAAAGGAAAACAAACTTTCATCACTCAGAATAACGAATAAAATTCGGATTTTCAACTCTAATGTCAAACTAGTGCTCATATATGGTTCGAACATTTGGCCCTTGGGTCATGAAATACATCCCTTACAGGCCAGAACTTCAGCATCAACAGTGGTCTCCGTTGGCTGCATAGTGAAAATGAGACAGCAAGAAAGAACCAGCAACAAAACCTTTGGGAACGAACCAGTCAAGAACCTACTGTCTAAGATAATGAGACCATTAAATGACATTGTGGGTCAGACCATCTCTTTAGTGGAACCGAATGCGAAACGGTGAGTTCGATGTGGGTCTGAGGGTGACATGGAGGTGATCGTGTGAGGAGATGAGAGCTTATTGGCAATCGTGGGGCTAGTTAGGGGGGACTGCAGAGAACAGTAGGAAATCGAGAAGTGCCAATGAAGCTCTATGTTCCCAGAAAATACTAGCGCAGTCTATGTTTAGGTTGATTCCCATTTCTGGGTGATAGATTATGTTGGACCAAAATGATCCGTTTCTATTGACATACTTGCTGCGAGTACGATCTCTTCGACACGTGTCAAACAACTAACGTAAAGCTATTTTTATTTCTTTTGAATATTTATTCAAAAAGTCATGTATATTATGGCAAAGTCTTGTGAGATCCAATTCAGAACAAGTCATTGGGAGTTATTTTAACTAATTTTATAATGATTTAATCAAAATAGAGTGCTCGAATTCGCTACGTCTTCAGTCCGGGTATTTACAAACTTTTAATAATACCTTTTAATCTACTCGTCAGTAGTATAAAATTATTAACTTAAATACTATGTCATTGTAAAATGTTTAAGCCACAAACAATAAAGATCGACTAATTAACCCCATGGGATGACATCTTTCTCAGGAAGACTAATTTAAAAGTAAGGCAGTGAATTGTCAAGGTAAATTTTAGTGCTAAAGCTTCTCGTCAAATAGAAATGTGAAAATTTTGAGGGGATGACAGCTTCGCATGGAACATGAGAAAGCCTGATTTGAAAACTAATCGGGATTTGTTTATTAATGGAACAATTATTCTCGATCATCTATTACATATGGCGTGAACACATATAGATTTGCTTTTTTGATGCACACCGAACGAATACAAAGTGTGTTTGAACTTTGTGGAGATGTGATAAAATGCATCATGAGTATTTAACATGTTCTAATCTTCGTTTACCATGTAACAGTCTGTCGATCAAGAATTAAATTCTGTATAGATGCTGACCACCTGTACATCTTAGTCAGATAGTCGGATATATGGCTAATCTGATACTGCCATATTAGTAGACTTCCATTACTCAACTTAATTTCTATTAAACACATAGTGGTGCAACACAGGTCCATTTTTTCATGCTTATCCGTTCTCTAAACAGCTATTCTTCAACAGTCTAGGCATAATATAGAAGAATTAGGCCGCCTTTTATATCCTGTTTCATTAATAGAGAATAATGACCGAAGTTGAACCGGGAAGCTTCACGTCTACCAGCTTGACGAATTTCTACGAAGTTGGTCTCCGGAGTGAAACCAACATCCGAGATGCCACTGCTAACCACCATCTGTCATTTCATCTAGTCAAATCAAGCTGGGTATTTTGTCAAATAATAACTTGCTAATACACTCTGTTAGTGACTAACCTTTGCTGACTCGATTTGTGCAATCCATTCATCGCATTTGTGTCCAGCAGAGAAAATGTACAGATTGGAAATATTCTGAAAGTCATCAAGAACTGCACAACCAAAAACGCCTGAATGAGAGAGAGAGAGGGAGAGAAAAGTAAAAAGATCCATAAAAATATTCTATAAGGTATGATTTAATTTCATTGGTAATTCATTATGCTATATATATATATATATACATATATATATATATACTGCTGACTGACTGATCTGACCATTTGAAGACCACTTACATCAATCAGTAGCACTTGCTGTAACGGAAAGATTGTTTGGAAAATCCCTGCTAGAGGATCTATTCACAATATTTATACTAATATGAACATTTCAAGTAACTTCGTAATTATCGTCTATTTTTCTCCTAGACTGTTCTGATATTTGCATATCATACATTAACTTGATTCTTTGTTATTGTTTAATCTCTAATTTTAATGCTTCTGTTTGTTATTGTGCAATACACTGTGACAGCGTATTGAGTTACTGGGTGATTTTGTTTGACTGAATGCAGGTGATTCTGACCTTAGACCTCAGCAGGAAGTGTTGTTATATGATTCTTGTGGACAAAGGTTTTCATTCCACCTTATTGGGAATATTCTACTTGATTCCAAGTACTTGTCTTTTATTTAGACTGAACTGTATATATACCTAACGGCACTGCTGAGGTACTTTTGGGCTTCTGATATTATTATTATTTCAAAAGAATCACAGATTTTTCTAAAAATAATCATCGCTTTTTCTGTCTTTGGGAGGTTTTGTGACTGCGCTTGTCTTAATGAAGTTTTATCAGCTGTAAATTAGGAATCAGAGATCGGCATTCTACACTTCAACCACAACGAGTTGGTTTCGGTCGTAACACTTGCTGTCTGAATCAAGCTGAATGAAACACCCGAAGACCATTTCTCTTATTCGAAATTGAGCTCACCAGTGATAAGCACAGATTCACTTTGCTCCGTCTAGGCCACGTGAATGCTATTAAGCTAGTTAGATTAACTGGTACTACACGGAATAAAATTCACACCTTAAAAACTATACACTTTCCAAGGTGATATTTCAGCACTCTTTCTGATGATAACCGCAAACTGCTTGTTACTATCATTAGCAATCAAATTAGCATGAAGAATAGGGATTTTCAACACCAATGTTAAGTCAGTCACTGCTTCTAAATGGGTCAGAAACGTGGCCTGTACATCACGGAAAGCATTTTAACAGGCTGCGGGGTTTCATCAACAGACGACTTGGCCAGCTACATACTCATGGTGAGATGGTCGACTAGAAACAATTGGCAGGAAGAAACTCTGGCAACAAGAGTCCTTTGTTCCACAAAATGTCGAAGAGAAGAAGAAAAATCGGACACACCCTGAGAAGACTGTAAGGTGACACAAAGCAGTAAGCTTTTGAGTGAAACACGAACAAGATACGGTGAGTTGGACGTCAGAAGATGACGCCAAGAAAGTCGAATCAAGAGGAGATGAGAACTTACGGGCAATTTGGGTCAGTTAGAGAGGACTGCAGAGAATAGGACAAAATGGAGATGGATTGCTGGAGCCCTATGTTCCGCTTGGAGCCCAGTCGAATAATAATAGTAAAAAGACACATTAGAAGACCCACAATAAATAATTAGGAAAGTCAGAAATAGCTTTTAAATAAATTTTTCTAAATACGCGTAAAAAAGTACATGAAAAAGATATAAAATATCACATTATGACTGACTGACTGACCAGAATCTCGGCCGCGTTGTATCACTAATTTATCCAATCGTACCGGATTTTTCAATAGTTTCCAATAATCATTTCCATCTTTCCTGTGCGTTTTTGTTATTAGAAACAAGTCGGTTAAGATATGGCAAACAGTTTCAACAGACTGAAATTATAAAACGAAACAAAGCAAAATAAAATAATATTTTTTGGGAAGTAATGATCGTACTACTGATTAGTTTATGAGTAGCTAAATAATATTTTCAGACAAATGGATAAAATGCTGTCTATTGTGGAAGTAAATTAGATGCTAAACATTCTGTGCAGAATTGTGTGTGTATGTGTATGTACATCTCCAATGTGACCAAAAAATTGTAAACATCTGAAGGTGTCGATGGTTCACTCAAAGAAATTTGACTGGAAGATTCAAAATTATACAGAAGAAGACTCATTAAGTGATCTGATTATTCTGTGTCAGTCTGGTTGTGAATGTATGCAGCTGGATAATGCTAAACTAGGATGGAACAGGCGCCTAAAGACTGACGTCCATCCAAGACAAAATTGAAGTAAGAATGCGTCGATATTTTTATCACTACCAAAAATGTCTGCATTCGGATTGCTGATAGATAAATCTTCTCAGTGTCAAAGCCCATTTATTTCAGTTTACAAAACAACGAATGCTGAAATAATATTGTATAAAATCTCTGTAGAATACATTTCCACTTTAAATAACCAATAAAAGCAATGCTTTTCATTTGAAATGATAACTTCTCAGCTGCTGATCTCTTCAGAAAAGATGGAGCTGGCCAAAAAGGACTGAAAAGAAAACAGTGAAATGGAGATCAGCTGTTGCAGCAATGTGCTCTACTGGGAACTCAAGGGAATAATAACAGTAATAAAGATGGCAACTACTCAAAGATGATAAAAGACGTTAATCATTGATCGATAAAAAAAGCGGAGTCCACTGTTTTCCAAATGACAGTGTGTTTATCACGAAACCCAACAGTTCTAGACCCTAATATTCACAGAGTTTCAGGGTTAGTATTAGCATGAAGTTAAAGTTCTGCATTCCTTGAGTTTCAAGAACTATAATAATAATAATAGCAACTTTATTCCAAACAGTACTTTTAATACAAATATGGAATTTTCAGCATGTAATACAATATTGCATCTAATTTTGTCATTACACAATACAGGTATAATAATTAAACATGGCATCTATATTGCTAATACTGTTCATTATCAATATAAATATAAAATTAAAGCGGAAACATTAACAACACTAATAAAAATGAAAGAAAGAATAGAAAGGGACGTCTAATTAGTGTTTCTCAGTAAGTTAGTCGTCTCATGCCTTACACTTTTCTAGTCACATTAAATGCGTACCCGCCAAATAAGGTAGTAATGTAGAGTTTTTATACTTAGTTTTCAGAGCATATAGTCTTCTATAGTTGCTTCTAGTCCCACCTGATTAAATGCAAAGAGAGAGTTGTGCATAGAAAGGATGCTCAGGATCCGACAAGATAATATTCTCTAATATCTTGCATGAATTCATGTGTCTACCTACAGCAGTATTAATAAGTTGGTTTAGCGATACCCAACTTGCCCTACTGATAGCTTTTAGCGCGCTTCACAATGCTAAAAAGTCTTTCTTTATTGACTCAGAAGAGATTAAGGCTAGGGAACAATAATGTTAAATAGGTAGAATAAACAAAGTGTAACAGTAGAAACTGACCAAGTGATACTAGATTGTCTTAACTTTCTTGCATAGAAGGTTAAACGAAATATCTTTCCATAAACTAACAGGATGTGAGAAGACCAGGAAAGATCAAATGAAAGATATAATCCAACTTCAATGCCATCTATGATACTGGGATCATGGGAATAAACCGGTTCATGTAAGTGGTGCTTGCATCTAAATGTGAAATTAACAACCTGATATTTGAAGGGATTTAGCTTAGGACTATTTGACATGGATCGCTGGCTGATTTCAAATAAAAAGCTGTTCATTTTGGAAATTAAAATTGTCAATGATTTACAGACTGTATAATTACAGAATAACGATGAGTGACACTAGTACAGTTATCGTTAGTTCAAATCCAGTTGATATTTTTGGCTTATTTGTTTCTTAAATTAGTTTGAAATATATAACTGTCGACATTCTGAATGCGTTCAACACTAGAAATCACGGAGGTTTAGTTAAACCAAGATAAATGAAGGTATCACCAGCCAATATTATTTATGGAGTATTTGAAGAGAGCAAGAAGCTATTGAACAGCTAGCTAGCTAGGTAGCTGTATTGTCCTAGTTCAGGACTATTTGACCAGTGTTCAAACAGTTCATCATCAAAATGACAATCTTCAGATTCTTTCGGTGAACACATATCATATCATATTCTACTAAGAGATCGAATTTCACGTACTAAGGTAATGTCTTAGGCACAACTGTGATAAAAGCTGTGAACTAGAATTAGGACGATATATGAAGAAAGTTCTGAATATTATTAGCACAACTAATTAAGCTAAACTCTCGAATGAATCGAAAAACAAACAAACAAACAAACACTATGCACTAAATTCTTTGGTTTCTATTTAAAATGATGACGTCGTTAACTAATAATTATTAATCCTCTTTCAGTTATGTTCAGTTAATTGAATTATGTTAAAAGGGTATCTGCAAAAACGCGTGCACACACATACACACACACACACTACGTACACCTTTGTCCTTTTTCGACGGGAAATATTTAATAAAAATACGAATTCCTGGTTGACAACAGATGTATATGTGGGCGCACATAAGCATATTTTATTTTCAGTAAATAAATGGAATAATTAAGGAACCAAATGAGTGTGAAATTCTTCGGAGTATGCGAAGAAAAAACGCGTGCATATATACATGTATGTGTGTATGTGTGTGTATGTATGTGGGAGGATTATTATTATTATTATTATACAAGAAAACCGAAATAGACAAAGCTAACGAAAAACAAAATTATGAATGTATCGAATAGTATACCCATTTTGTCTGGTTTTCAGTATATTCTTACAATGATGAACTAATTTTCGTACATCGAAAGGATACACACATACATACCTGAGAATAACTCACTATTTGTAGTAATCTTTTTTGCATGCACAAAAATGAATGACTAGTATTACCTAAGGGAAAACAAAACACAAGAGGCTAAGAAATATTCTGTCCATGATTAGCGAAATTCCGATAAAAGAGTTGCTTCAAGTCATCGAAAGGTATTCATTAGTCCAGTGAAGGATATCCTGAAGGCATCTTCTTCATTGAAAATGCATGGTATTCTCAACTGTAAATACATTGTACCTCTTTCAGCCTCTTTATTGACATTAAACTACATCCTGTAACCTGTTTATATCACCAGCAACAATAATATTCTTGATTCTGATGAAAATAATCATGTGATCACGTGAAAAAGACGAACATACGTTGGGATAATGACATGGATTTCGCTAATGATTTATGTGGCTTTTCGCAAAATCTCAAAGATTTGCAAGCGATAATCAACAAGTTAGCAGACAAAGGCAGCCAACACAGAACTTCAGCTGAACATTGAGGTGACATAGTAAATGAACATACTCATTTCTTTCACTTACATATCTGGGTAGCACTGTTTCAACTACAAGTAATAATGACTAAGATGTCAAAGGCGCCATCGCGAAAGTAAGACAGGCATTCATTACTTTCAAATTAATGTAGAGATTTGCAGACCTTAGCAATTAAAATTTCCAAGAGTTGATTTGTAAGGATTAGTTTTGTGTTTCGAGTTTGACCACGTATTGATATCGGTAAGAGAACCAAGGAAAACCAGGGAGTACTGGACAACTGTTTCATCCTGGTTTGGGACTCATCGGTAGTACGCACCCACTGGGGTTCAAATCCAGGACCTTCCGGTTGCAAGGCAAGGAATGTCCTGGGTTCGAACCCCAGTGGGTGCGTACTGCTGTTGAATTCCAAACTAGGATGAAAAAGTTGCCCAGTACTGCCTGGTTTTCAGTGGTTCTCTAAGTGATATCAGTCCATGGTCAAACTCGAAAAAAAGTAAAAACAATATCCGAATCCTTGACGTAAACATTAAGTCTGTGAGTGCTTGTAAATGGTTCACAGGCTTGGTGCGTGTGTCCTCAAAGGTGGTCTCAACATCCTACTGAAGACAATCATGAACAACTATCTTCGTTGTCAATCTACTGAAAACCACATGGCAAAGGATAAGTAAAAAGGGAACTTTGGTTGACTACGAACGAAATAAGAACCTACTGGTGAACAAATATATAAAATTAAATCCAAAGGGATTGTAAGTACTCCAAAGAGATTGTTGAGTGACATTAGCTGCAACGAGTTGGATGTGTGTCCGACAGTGAAGTGGTGATCACGTGAATTGGGTAACCATTGTACCACCTAAAGCTATGGTAAAGAACAGAACACACTAGAGATGAGCCACTGAAGCCCTATGTTTCTTTCGAAATCTATGAGACGAATAATAAAAAAAAGTTAAAAAGCTTTTCTACTCACTCGACTTGGTGGTTCCTTAAATCGTAAATTCCCACCATATAGTACAGCCCGTTGTACAGTTCGCTGACAATAGAAATCTGACCAATCATAAATGACGGAGTCATTTATATCAGCTTCTAAAAAACCTGATTTCTGTACACCACCTTGTGATACACGTGACAGAAGTACAGGACACTGGAATATTTCATTTGTCTGAGCAGGCAGACTGAAATTTCTTGACGTTTGTTTAAAATACATCGGTGAGGTTATGTCTGTTGATGCTGAAGCTGGAAGATTACAATCACCGATACCAGAATCACTACGATTACAACTAGTTGTACTACGAGGCTGGAAATTTCTAACATCTGTAGTTGAACTGAAGTTGATTAGAGATGAACCACTTGATCGTCGATTACGCAAGGATGTTAGAGATTTTGTTGTTAACGACATATTTTGTGCGTTGTTAGCATCATGAAATAGAACTACTGGCAAGGGCAGTTTGATTGGACCAAGAATTGAGAACTTAAATCTAAAATAAGGAGAAAACTGTCACACATACCGACCGCAGAAGGGTTGACCTTTTAATATATGAGCATATAAAGTAAAATTGAGTAACTATAGAGGCTCACCCACCAAGTATGAAAGTAAGTGTATAGTAACTTCCTGCTCACAGCAGCTATAATGATTCCAAACTTGTCCATGTGGCTAAAACAGGAATTAACTAGCAATAATCTTGTCACCTGAAGGGTGACATTCTATCATAGTAAAATTCATGTTATGGCAATTGTATCTCTTTGGAAGGCCTTTAGAAAGATTTGTCTAAGCTACTGTTAAGCTTGTCTCATCAACACATTAAGAATAACAACAGCAGTAATAGTAAGAATAGTAGTAACCATAGGTGTGCATTACTGAGACAGTACTCGGTATATTGTAATACTCATTCGTTCTGAATAAATATGTTGATGGTGAACACAATAATTTTTTTATCAATTTACATAAATATGTTAGAGAAAAGGACAGTTTGTCTAATACTGAAGAATGCTTACGCTTTTTTGAGCATGTTCCAGATTCGCTTGGAATAGGAGTAACCAAATCAATAAATAGTGCTATTTCGCCTCATCTAGTGGATAGGTAAACACCACATCAAAATAGATGAGTCATTTACGGTTGTATATCGAGTGCCAAACAATGTGCCTAAAGGCACATGATTACGTCGCCTAGCCATATCTGAAGCTATAGAGATTAATAAGAATAAACCTGACCTATGTGTGCAAAAACGTAAATTTATTCTCTTTGTTTAATATAAGGTCATCTGGAACGTAATCATCTCACATTTTCATGTCAAATTATGCCTACTTATTCCTTATCACCTAGCTCACTTTACTTCATTATTACCTTTATTATGTGCTAACCTTTTGTAATTCGCACTAAGCTTATTATGTCTAGTATTTTATTACAGTTCACTATTTGACCCATTTATCTTATCATTAAATTTGTTATCTGTCTGCCCTCGGATTTACATTCAGTCTGTGTTTGTTTGTAATTTGTGATGTTCTTAGTCCTCTCACACCATCGAATATAACTCACCCCCCATAGTAGGACTTATATTCTGTTAACTATAGATACATTAGTAAGTCACTCAGTTTGAATTAATTTGGCTTGACGGTGACTAGTAGAATCAAGGATACGCATTTCGTCCCACCTGGGACCAATCAACTGGATGCACCTGCATTCCCCAGTCACTGGGTGATGGTGTTCCCACTGAGACTTGAACCCAGTACCCTCATAATTTCAAACTCTCAAGAGTCTATTCTGAACGGCTGTACATTTTATATGCATTCAGTTGACAGTGTTAACTAATGAAATATTATTCTACCTTTTACTTGTACCCCAAAAACACTTTCATTTTGCCTTTACCGGCTATTTGTATTCTGATAGTCATGGACACATAACTGTAGGACCTGAATAAGAAGTTATTGAAAACAGCTGTTGGTTGTGCTTGAGTGGCCTGTGTAGAAACGACTCGATCAGTGTTAAATAGATCTCTTTAAGGAAGAGTGAATAATGGTGATTCTTTTAAATAACAGTTACAATGAAATCGTTGAAGAACCCTCAGCGGAGATATGAATGTGTTACCATGGCAAGCATAGTCAGGTAAGTTTCCTTTATGTTTACACGAATAATCTGTAGATTCTTAATAACTGAGGTCAATCCTTTAAAGTTTCACCTGGTAGACCTTGCAGTCTGCATACGCATAAGCAAGTTGACGATTATGGAAGGAGTTGCACTCACTGCCAAGAATGAGATCAGATGCCAGTCTGTATGAGATTTTGCAGCAGTATCAACCTATATAGGGTCATACTCAGGACATTCATGTTACAAGGCGAGCTCATTGACCATTTAATCGCTGGAGCGGATTCCAATGACTGATCATTTCTAACTTCTACCAACTAGGGACATAGCGTGACTGCCACATATCCTAATTATTGGATCCCAGTGGTCACAACTTCCCACTGGAACTTCAGACAACTTTATCCGGTAGCAAGTGTGTTGCTTTGCAGGGATTTTATTGGTTTCAAGGTTGATCACGAATTGACTGCAGTTAGAGAACTACTTAAACCCACACAGTACTGATAGGCTGCTCTGGAAGTACAAGCGCATGCAGGTAGAGCCCAAGATCATCAAGTTGCTAGGTGAGTCAGCTAACTATGCAATCACAGGGAATGAACTCAACAGTGCATAACTTCTGTGAATTCACGATATATAACACAAGCAACACCTGCTTCTGGCAACAAAGAGTATTTATCTTCACATCCGACAAGTATCAGTTTACAGGGATTTGACTGACTGATTTCAGTTATCTTAGAAATTGATTCAGGCGAAATTCTCTGCATTTTCAGTCTCATTGCTCAGAAGAGGGATGCCTTAATGTATTTATTTATTCAGGTTATGCATTTAAAAATTACTTTTAATGGTATAATTAAGCAATGAGCATGTTCACTTACTTTGTATGATCATTAATCAGCTGTGTATAGTCTTCAACTACATTCTCTAATAAATCATCATAGATTAATTTAGAGGCCAGTATTTCTAAACTCTCCCATGTTTTAGTCTCTGTCATTTGTCGATTAATTGTCTCTATGACTTCACTGATAGATTTCAACTGTAGAGAAATGCAAAGCAATTAGAGAGCTAAATTGGATAGAAAATAGAATTTCTTTTTCTTTTTTTGTTTTTAATTAATAAAATTAATTAAATACATGCATATACTACTATATATGTATTCAAACCATCTGAAATGAGAGAATTCATTTCAACAAAGTAATGTCAGCTAACTGTTGGAATTAGGTAACAGGTATATTAGCTTGAATCCTGTAACACATAGAAGGATGCTATTTCCAGATTCGTTTACTGTATATCCACTCTTATACATGCTCTCCTGTGGAGCTGATCACAATGGAGATCAGAGGCGTGTTCTTCGTAAAAGTGTAGCGGAATACTACCTAGTTTAGTTGTTAAGAGGTGAGCATTAGATGATGAAATCTTCTACCTGTAAACACTTTCTGAAGTCAGCTCATTCAGCCCAGTGCCAAGTTATCTACTGAGTAATGTCCGTTTTATTTCATTGTATTGGTTAAATACAGTCAGCGTTCACTTCATCCTCGCCTTCTTTATTATTCATCACTGTTGGGCTTTGAATTTTTGGCAACACTTGAGCTGCTTTATACCTGAATTTATTGTTTTGGGAATTCAATTACGAAGATCAGATTTGTCATTTGTTATGTTGTGAGCAACATTTATTGTGTGAAATTTGAGGTCACCGCAAGACTACTAGGACACGTGTTTCCCACACAAACTACTACGATCACTTCACTGCAAATATCATGTGGGTGGAAAGACTTAGAGGACATGAAAACAAAATCACCAATATCTTTAAGGGTAGCTCGATCAACGGAGAAAATCACTATGATGACATCCCCTTCACCTTCACATTCAATGCAAATGAATTAACTGTCAGAAGACACGACATGCATATCAATGCACCCAAACAATTACTGACATGTATCCAAATATGAAAGAGTAAAAACCTTGAAAAAAGAAAATACAAAGAATGTCAGAGAATTCCTAGAAGCCTGATACTCAGATCAGACTGGAATGAACAGATCTACGTGAACAGATATCAAAGTTTTTCAGTTTACAAAGACAGTAAGTCATGCGATGAAAAGGGTGCAATTTCAAGTCAACAAGGCTATAATTACACTAACACTGGTAACTGTTTACAATGGACTGGATAGTCACATGCGACAACCAGTCACACAATCAACGTCGCACTAAGAGAGACGGTTATTTCATTCATGAAGAGCGCTAAAGGTCGATTAATTTAGCACTGCCTCTGAAAATTTTGTCTCAAGGGAGAACAAAAGTTTATTAATAAATAATCGTCCTTTTGTTTTATTTCAGTATAATGTTCTAACAACAATCCTTACTGGAGTACTGATTCCCGTTGATAAACACAAGCATGCTATTTTGGTAAATGTTACAGGTTGTACGCAAATGAAGAGAACCAGCGAAATGCAGTGGATCCATGTTGGTATGCATCTATTCTTGTTGTTTCGCTGTTCGCGGCCCGTTGTGACTTGTTGGCTCATTGCGCAGATGCTTCAGCGATGTCCGGGGATTAACTTGAGGTAGTTTGGTGGATGGTGACTAGCAGTAGAATCCAGGACAACGAGCATTTTGTACTATTTTGTACTCGTCAGCTAGTGGATGTACCTGCATTTCCCAGTGAGGTTCAAACCCAGTAACCATCGTTTCAAACGCCAAAGCATTATCGATACTAAGTGTGAACAACATCAATTACTGGAGAATGCATGAACATCCAGATGACGAAGCGCACGTCCTGGATTTCACTGCTAGTCACCATCGACCAAATTACTTTGGGATCAAATTTTCGATAATTTTGTTATGTAATTATAAGGGCTGATGAGAAATTGCCGAAATCATGTATTTGCTTAAACTGTATTCTACAATTATCATAAAAGGGAATATTTAAATTTCTTGAATCACAGTAAACTGGAATGATTACAACTCAGTTAAAGGACTATGTAAAATAATACTGTAAATCAAATTTTTCAAAAGTTCGTTTTATTAAACTCATGCTATGCTTTTTTAGTTTTTACATACCATTTCATTGACTTCCTGTTCTTCAGTTGAATTAATGCAGTGTTTTAGTATCGATTCCATTAAAAGACGATATTGTGTTAATCGTGTAGTTGGTTTTGTCATTTGATCCCACAATGGTTCACGATGATCATGACCTTGTTGATCAGCCCACTAAACGAAATTTAGCAAAGAAAATTAACGCAAATCTGTTTAAACAGTAATAAATACTTCTAATCAATATTTCAACAAACACATGCTATATTGTCAAAAACGAATTGGTATAGGCTTTGAAAGTCTCCAGTGATGTATATAAGAAACCAAGCACGTACACATGGTCTCATTATAAATTCGCTATTCATTTAACCTTGAGAGTCAGATTATGTGATACAACTTGTTACTTATTATCGAGTAGTTGTGAGAAATGTTTCCAAATGAAGAGATAATGATATTGTTGTTTAGATTATGTAAGACAGAGATATATATGTTAATCTCAACACTACCAACCCACTCTCCATCTTTATCATCATTTTCTCATGGGTCATCAAATCAGCTCCCGGTAGCTAGATTGTCTACAAGCTCAACTTATAACCGGATGGTCCTGGGTCCGAACCTCTGGATGCGTAGGGATTAACAAATCAGTTACAGATCATTGAAAGCCGTGGAACACTGGATATCTGCTTCCTCCTAGTTTGGGACTTTTCAGTAGATCGTCTTCAGAACTTCACAAGAGACCTATTAACTAGAAGTGTAAATATACCGAAATTAATATTCACATTAGATTACTGACCTATAAAACACGTGAGGCTTTTCTGATTGTTTATACTCTGTAATTTCTCCTAGACTGTTATTGATACTACTGAGTTCCAATATATAACGTTGCAGAAAAGTGAATCAATTCAAATTATCACACTCTATGCAACCCACAAAAGTGCAAAAAAGAAATGCACAAAGACCATAATCAGCAGATATATGCTAGAGAAAGCCTAGTGACATTAGAAAACAACACAGTTTATTTGATATGGCAGATAAGAAAGAGTGAATGCATCTGCACCATTCAAAAGGATTTTGAGCCAAATCATCAATCGTCTCCAGCCATTGGTTCTTAGCATCCTGAGGATCCCAGTCAGACGGTCTACACCTCCATAAGTAGCTGGCTCAGAAACTACAGTCAAAGACTTCATGAATTGGTTCCAGGCTTTGTTTTGACTAGCTCTAACTCTTTTCCAACTTAATCTTCTATCAGATAACATTGATCGTTACGGTAGATGATGGCTTGAGATGAGCAGCATGTGTCCTACCCATCTGAACAGATGTCGCTTCAAACCCACCTCGATTGACCTGCTCTCCTATCCTAAATATCTGTGCCTAACCTGAATACTGCTCACCATACTATTCTACTTAATATAGCTCATAGAATTTAATGGTAGTCTGGTGAATAGTAATCCATAATTCAGTTTACAGTGAGATTTGTAACTTTCTATGGTGAATGAAACAAGACACACTAAATTAATTTTTAGCGGTCACTTAATATTCCCATTGACATTTTAAGAACTTCAGCTATCCACCAGACTGACATATATAATCCTTTAAATTCACAGATACCTCTACCTAATCTATAACCGGCAAGGACACAAGCTACTTTGTTTCAATTTTATAGCTGAGTGTGTTAGATTACAGGTACCCCTGTAATTCGAGCAGGTAGCTAAAAGTTCAGTTTGAAGGCAGTTACATGAACTCATAATTATGTATTTTCAAAAAAGTGATTATTTATACAACCATTCTGTCTACCCTGGATTGCTTGATCTAATAAAACAACTGATAGTCAATTCTTTTATTTTAATTTTATTTTATTACTGGGAATTGTGTTAAATGTGGTTTGACTGCAGATAATCTATATACATACACGTCGTCTTAATTTTATGTTTCCCAATTCACTCCCTCTTATACTTTGTCGGGCGAAAGTACAGCACACCATGGTCACGGTAATCATGAATATTAACCGTCTGTTAACAGTGTTATACAATTCTTTATCCCAGCCATTTAGAGAATGCACAGTGGGATGAGTGAGAGAGTGACATAAAAGTCGGTATTGGTTACATATATCGAAACTGAGAATAATATGAAGTAGTGCATGGTTATGACCCAAGATAATAGTAGGTGTTTGTAAAACAAAATTTGGATGGAACTAACTTGTTGTCCGTCAGTCTAACCACTACTCAAAGCTGGCACAGAAGAAATTTTAACTAATTCATTTTTAGACAAGATGTTGGATTCCCTCACTATTATTTGATACTACTAAATGTTTTTTGGGAACCCAGTTGACGGATAGTTCCAACTAACCTTGGCTTCGTATATCTTGAGACTTATTAACAGGGTGATGGGATAATACCAATCGAACGAAATGTATGGTTCCTCTTAGATTCAAGCCTTTTGTATCAGCTTACGGCAAAGTCAGCGATTCAGGTGATGGCAGATTTCGACTGACGCTTGTAAGACTAAATCATTTCACTAGCTGTTAACTGCTCAGCAGTAGTCTGTATAAATGTTTCATCTTCAAAATGCTTTTAGGTATCCTATCTGCAAACAATCTTTATTTCGTTGATGCCGTATGAAGTGAAAGTTGAATATTCTTGCATAACTGATGGTGAGAGTTATCGAATTTCCCGTTGTCCTTTTGTGAAGTTTATCTAATGCGACGGAAAAACGTGGCCAGCTTGATAACAAGACTATCACTGCCTCTTTGGTTGATAAACGGAAGGATATTTTACTTAATAATGACTACTTTCTGCTCATTCTTTTGTGAACAACTCTTGGGGAGAAAATAATACTATGTTATTATAATAGGACTTTCAGAGGACAAATATCATTCCCAGATGACATGACTTCATAGTTTCTCTATAGTTACATTACAACTAGCACGGTGGACAAATAATTATCCCTACATAAAATTAGAGGAGATAATAATAATAATAATTATTACTCATATTCTAATAAGTTGAGTAGACCAGTGTGGGAAGAGACTGAATGAAGTTTGCTGCAATTAATTCCAACCGCCTTGATTAGCTTTGATAACCACTGAACATAAAATTATATGGAATAAGTTAGAAACAGTCACTGATATTGATTTTGTAATCAGAAGCTAATAAATGTCTCACGATGGATATTTCTGGGCTTTTATGTTGATCAGCTGAATTCGGAATATGTTTTGCACGATATTCCGTAATCAAAAAGAAGCTCTGGGAAAGAACCGGTCAAGAATCTATTGCTAAAGATGTACCCGGAAGAAAATAAGAATGGATTGGAAACATGCTGAGTAGATAGTCGAATTACATCGCATGCCAGGAAGCCGAGTTGAACGGGAGTAGGAAACAGTGAGTTCATCACTGCTCCAACGGTGAAATGGAAGAAATTGTGTGAGGAAGAGATAAGGGTCTATGGGCAACCGTAGGGTCAGATTAAGAGAACTGTAGATAACAGTGCAAAATGGAGATGTTTCATTCAAGCCTGATGTCCCACTCGGAACCCGAAAGAATAATAATAGTGAATCCCTGTGATATCTTTATGGGGACTGTATAAGTTCCATTACGTGCTGATCTAACTTATACGAAATGATGATGGTAGAATAAAAAAGGTCTTTGTTTCTACATTTAAAATTCAACTAGGAAAACCCATATGAAGTCTCATTTCAACAAGTGACCAAATTAATAAGAAGGGCATTTATACTGAGCCACCTACAACAGTGAATTGACACTAAAGGAGGTTCTCTTTAATATCAATTCGTCAGAATGCATATATCAGTCAAATTTTACCTATGAATCAAATGGAGTAAAACAAGCAGTCGAGTGAGTCATTCCCTAGATTTGTTAACACTCACTAGCCTGTTTCAGAAGAGATGGTGTCATGCCAAAACAAGAGTTCCCTTCCAGGACACTAAGTACACGTAGAACAGTTCTCAGTCGCTAAAACAGCTTGCAGTATATTCTTTCATACACCAAAACACTATGACATGCAGTCTATCCAAATCTACCTTGTCTATTTAAAGCTGTAGTGGTTACAAGGTCAACCAAGGTCTAGAAGACAGATTCAGGTTTGTGACTGGGACGGTTGTCCCGTGTTTTAGTCACTTTGATGTGGCTAACGACCACCACTGTTTTGACGTGACTGGTCTCTCAGTGATCATATTATACGTCACGCAGTTACTCCTCCTCCGTATTTTCAGTAAACTGAATAACATCTGTCTACCATTCTACGTTAATCTTTTCCTAAAACAGCATTCTAAGTCTTAATGTTGTCTATCTCATATTTGCCATCGTCAACATTGAAAGTAATTCTAAAACATTCTCGGCACTAAATGACGATCAATTATTTTTGTTGTTATTTACTATTACTATTATTAGCAATGTTATCGTAACTGTTTTTTATAATAATGTCTTAGCCCTTTCACACATATTGATCAGTGCACAGGTAATTGTTTACTTACTAAATATATGTAAACTCAAGTATATCACATCAAATCATCTTCCCTCCTTGTTGTGAGATTTCATCACTAAAATTAGCAATCAGCGAAGGTAAAACCAATAAGAGATGATAATAGGAACCTAAATATCCAAGAGGTGGAACGAAGGAAACAACGGGCTGACCCCTTTAAACGACTCTTGTATCGATCACCACCCACAACTCATCTAGAAATACCACCAAAAACAGGCACATAACCGCCAGTGAACATCAATCCTCCAACAGGAGCATAAGTCTTGAATACAATCCATCCAATGAAAGACAACCGCAAGGTAGCAGGACCAGACAGAGTCCCACCTCATCCACTGGAAACGAGTTCAGAGATTGCGAAGAACATGCTGACATAACTGTCCCAAAAGGCTTGAAAGGAAAGGTGCCTGCTGACTGGAGGAAAGACTACCTTTTCAAGCTACCAAAGGAGACCAACTTAGTCCTCTGTAAGAACCGACATGGAATCATGTTCTTGCCCACTCAAAGAAAAATACTAAGTCACGTTATCCTGGAAAGACTCAAAGATGCATCCAATACAGAAATCCGCCATCCTGGAACAAGCTGGACGGATTCAGGAGGGGCAAATCATATGCTGATCACATTGCAACTCTACGCATCACCGTAATCATCATCGAACAAAGCCCATAATGGCAGTCAGACGTGTACCTTAACTTCATTGACCTCGAAAAGACCTTCCACAGACAGCCTTGATGGGGAAGCAATTTAGAAACTACTTCAATACTACGGTGTGCAGTGCCAGTCTTTATCAACCTCATTCAACAGCTGGCTATATGACAATGGCACATGTCAGGTGATCCACAACGGAAAACTCAGCGAGGCGTTCGAAGTGCATACAGGAGTAAGACAAGCTGGTTGGCTATTATCACCGACGATATTTTTAATTGTGGTGGACTGGGTTATGCGTCAGACTGTGAGTGGGAGGTGAGAAGACGTGAATACGTTGGTCCTATCAGAAGACCCTAGAAGATCTGGATTTCGAGTGTGGATGATTCATGTGTAGTGTCACACAAACTCGAAGACTTACAGGTGAAAACCAACATGTTGATAGAAAAAGCAGTGAAGACAAGACTTCAAGTCAACATAGAAAAAACGGAGTTGATGAAGAAAGCTAAGCAGCCAACCAACCAACAAGGAACAACACCAATCACTATCAAGGGGAGAGATTTGACATAGGTTACTTCCTTCGCTTATCTAGTCAGCATCGTTTTAGTTATTCATAGAGGCCCAGATGAGGAATTTCATCGTCAGCTGCCTTTATTAGCTCTGCATTGAAGATCAGATAGGCAGCCAGAAAGAATCAGAGACTAGAAAGCGTGAACACACCAATCAGCTCAAAAAATATGTTGAAGAAAATGGAAGTGAATTGGACAAACGCTGGGGAGAATGTTGAGTGAGAGCATTTATCAGGCTATCAAGTGAAATCCCAGTGGGAAACGACATATTGGGCGTCCAAGGATAACATGGAGGGGATTGTGTGATGAGAAGATGACAGTTTTCAAGAGTTTGCGGGGCCATCAGAAGAGGACTGTATAGAACAGAATGAAACTGAGACGTGTTGTTGAAGCACTATATCCTACCTGGAACCCAAAGGAACAGCAATAATTATAATTAGCGATTTATCTAACACTTTTTTTAACATCCCGTTAAGTTTATCACTAAATGTCTGGATAAACTAGTGAAATCAGGTCACAAACTGATACCACCTAAAGGACCATTGAAAATCAGTAAATGCGCTGTTTCACAAGGTCATTAAAAACCTATATATTCAGCATCACTGTTAAGCGTACTGATAGTTCTCTTCTTTCTGTTCTCGTGTGCCAATGATACTGTTGCTGTTTTCCTTATTACTGTTCTAGTCGATGTCGTAATTATTGGCAGGAATAGTTTTCGTTATCACATCAAACTCGTATTGCTTGCAGTTTACTAGTTCGTATAACTATTGGCATCGGCTGAATCACATTCATTTTCCGTAACTTTTGTGAGTGAGATGACTTGAACTGATGAACCTTTGTAGAAGTTTCTATGTTTGATAGGTCAAACAGTCCTGATGACTATTTTTGAGCCAATATAAAACAACCATTATTCCAACATTTTTCTTTTCGTGAATATAACTTTGAGCAAATAGTTGGAGTTATTTGTATTTCTCGCAATCAAGACTGAATTCTACGTGCAAGTGTATTCAACCTAAAGAGATATTCGCCTAAGGGGATTAGGGAATTCCTAATAGGTAGGGGACAGAGAGTTAGAATCAACCCAAAGCTCTTATCCTGGACAACGGTACATAGGGAAGTACCATAAGGCACTGTACTCGGACTAATCTTATTTATCTTGTATATCAAGGAATTGATGCTACGTTTGCTTAGTTACATAAAACTCTCCTTTTTCTGGTGTTTCTGGCCAGGAAGTGGTGGAATATATTGTAATTAGTTTACCTTCTAAGACTGAATCTGTGGATATAATCTTGCTGATTGATAATACCTATAACTATCTGTTTGGCACTTTGTGACTGTTTAGCACTAACTAATATCAATGATTGTATATTTTGTTGGATTTACATACCCAAGGTGACCCAAGTCAGTGAGTCTATGGTTTTCATATCATGTGTTAACTATTTTTGACAGTTATACTACTGCCATGGTTTTTTATTTGTTGTCGCTGCCCTTCCTGTTGTGAAATTTTTCATTTTCCTTTTGTTGGAGTTGTTCTGACCGCATTATTGCTTTATCTCTGGTGTGGTCAGAACTTGGAAACTGTATCCAGGCAGCAAGCCCTTGCATTAAGGGGGACTCATACATTCTTGAAAGGATACAGAAGAAGGTAACACGTATGATTCTACGTATAGCCAGTATACCATACGAGGAAAGACTTGACAGTTTGATTCTCTTCTCCTTGTGATATCGTCTCCCTTTTTGCTTCCCACCAGGTCGGAACACCTCAGAGAACGATGGCGGGAGATTTCAAAAACCACGAAGAAACTATTTCACTGTGTAGTGCTATTTCCCCAACTGAGTGACAAACTCTTGGAACCGACCCCTAGACAAAGTGATATCAGCATCTTCAATTGATTTGTTCATGAAGACATTAGACAAACATAGAAACTTATTAGAAAATGATTAATATGAGCTTCAAGCCTTCTATCCTCAATCAGTAAATCTGAATTTGAAGAGAAAATCAATCAAATTAAGAAATGTAAAAATATATGCTAACATAATGAGAAGAATTAAGAAGACATCAGTTGCTTACTTCAAGAAATGTACAAAAGTTTGTACTCTGTCTAATTGCTTCTTGTGTATACGAACGACATCGAGGTAAGTTCACATAATATTGTTTATAAACATTGAATAAATCAGGAATCTATAACGGCGACAATAACAACAACAACAGTAAATAAAATACACTGAGTATTACACAACTGACAAGCACGGAAAATGGTAAGCTAATAAAAGAATATTGAGCAGTGAGTCATTTTTCTCTGGTTCGGACGATCGGAATTCGCTCTACCTACCAAGGTTTTATGGATTTAAATACAGACAAGTATCATTAGCCCTGACACAATAGGTGTAGCTCATCTCCAGCTGCAAGGAACTGAAATTAGTTGTTAACTTTAACATTTCTGTTTTGCCGATATTATCGAATCTGGCAAGGTTTTCTTTGTTCCACCAGATGGTGATAATAACAATAATAATAATAATGGAAAGTGTAGACGTCAATTTCTATGGCTGATTTATATATTTCTATCAAAGTGTACAATATACTTTCTTCGTGAATGAATCACTTGTGTATTTATTCATAGAGTTATGAAAACTAAGATATACACTCGAAATCAGTACTGAACGCCCTTCAAATTCAAAATGGAAATATTCAAACGGTATGATTTAAAATTTCATTTTAAGAAAAAATAAGTATTTTTATTGGAATGGCTGTTTGGTAAATCTCTCCTCAATGATCTCATCACAATATTTATACTCATCTAGATGTTTCAGTTAACTTTGTAATTATTATCCCTTTTTTCACCTAGACTGTTCTAATATTTTGACATTTGCATATAACATGTTGACTTGATCCTTATTATTCATCTTTGTTCTTATTTAATCTCAAATTTTAATGCTTCTTCTTATAGCTGTGTGAGAATATTGATAATGTATCGTTTTACAATGTACCTCTAATAGAAACAGTTAATTAAATATGTGAACAAGTGGACAAGCAGTCGATAAACATTGGCATCCATATTGAAATCCTAAAAGAATTGATATTGAGATGTACCATGAATGTAAACTTCAAATTTGACCGCACACTTTACAGGCAAGTGGACGGGGTGGCGACAAGCTCCCCATTAGGTCCCATTCTGACTGATTTCTTTTTAAGTAAGCTAGAAAATGAACCTCTGAACAACCTCATCAGTAAGCTCTCATTTTATGGTCGATATATGGATGATACCTTTATTCTTTGTGATAATGGTTCTGATAGGAGTACAATAATTACTGAATTCAATGAAGTACATTCGGCTATGAAATTCACATGCGGAGAGGAATCCTAAGACAGAATTGCCTTCCTGGATGTCCTACTTACAAGAAAACCAGATGGTAGCATAAAAAGAAATTTGCATAGAAAAAGCACTTGGACAGGACAATATACACACTTTCACAGCTTCGTTCCTATCAAGTACAAAAGAAATTTAGTGAAGACCCTCAGCCACATATTTAGAGCTATATGCTCAGAAAAAGTAACTGAAGATGAATTAAGCATTGTCTATGGTACTTTGATCGAAAATGGCTATCCCGACAAATTTATCAAGAAACATATGAGAAAGAAAGCGGAAAAGGACTACTCACTATCTGTAAACAAGAAGCCACTTTATATACGACTACAACTCAAGGGCGATATACCAAATGAGATAATTACGAGGAAATTAAGAAACTCAGTTCAAAGAACTTTTAATACTGGCGAGCTACACGTATTATTCTCTACACGACCAATGGTGCTACCTCGACTGAAAGATGAAGTACCAAGAATAGCCACTTCAAATTGTATCTACCAATTCAAATGCGCTTGTGGGGCGAGTTATATTGACCGTAGCTCTAGGGACTTGATTTTTCATGCTCTAGAACATATCTCACTATGGCTAAGTAAAGGTGTAGTTAGAACCATTAACAGTTCGATATTGAACCGTCTGGTGCAAACCGGCCGGCCACAAAGCCAGCCAGCATTGAAGAATGCTTCTCTATCATCTACCGGGTGCATCGAAGCACCGCGTGTTCCAAACAGGGGAGGCTATTGCAATTCGCCTCAAACAACCAGTGCTCTGTGTTCAAAAGAAGCAAGTCCAGCCCCTACTACTGCCATGGTCTTCAGTAGAAACTATAAACTCATGAATTCGCAATATTATCTCTCTTAATTTTTCTGACATTCAGCTTATTTTATGTTGATGCTATTGAGCTGTATTCTATCAATATTATTGATTCAATGTTATTTAAACTATAATGTATATATAACTGTAGAGCCTGATGATGAAGTTATCGAAAAGAGTACTCTTTGTTTAGTATCCATTCTTTTGAAAATTTTAATGGGCATTTTTAATCAGTTGCAATGTGATTTTGTTTGTTATTCTGACTCTGAATTGTCTTCGGGATTCTTTGGTGTGTGATTCTTGTGGACAGAGGTTTTGATCCCACCATGTTAGGAATATTCTACTCGATTCTCAGGTACTTCTTACATTTTGATTTTGGCTAACTAGTTTTGTTCTACAGTACTTGTTTTGCACTTAAAACGTTAACTAGACTATTGAGGTAATTTTGGGTCTTATATGTTATTGTTGAATAGAACCTGAGATTCCAGAAACGAAAAATCGTCCATTTGCTGTCTTCGAAGCATTTTGTGACTTTGCGCGTCTCATGGACGTTTATCAGCTATAGAGTGGGACGCACAGATTGGTTTCTTGAGTTCAAACTACAACCAGTCGGTTTTGGTTGAAACAATATTTGTCTTATGTGACTCAACTGATACACCATTCTGCACGAATGATAGATGCATCTTTCCTGATTATGTTGACTGTGTGATTTTAACTGTCTTCAGAAGTTTTCTTATCCATTGCGTTAGTTTGTACCTGCTTTCTGTCGTTCGTTTCGTTGAAATCTGCAACATGCTTTTGCATGTCAAGCACTTCCATTATTTAATTAGCAGTTCTAGCCATCCAGCTCAGAGAATGTAGCAACACCAGAGAAATCCGCTTGTGCAGTATTTCGAAATCTTCCTATCTCTGTTAATTTTTGCTAAATCTTTTCCACCTACTCTCCCAACATCACCACACACACACAAACAAACGAACAAATAGGTATAGAGATGCAGAAATTACATTCACTACTTCAAGGTCAAATTTTAAATTTGCAGAAATAGTAACCATTCATGTGATCGACTACAGAAAAGAACATAATTTTTAATTTAGCGTCGACATTAGAAATTTTAAACACTTTGTGAAAGTTAGAAATACAACATTTGTATATGATGTAGTTTTTTCTAATGCACTAGTATGTACCTTTGAATTTTTTTTTGACTTAGACTGAATGAAATACAACAACGAACCTTCTGTTGCTTGTAAGTATCTGTAACAAACAGTTTCCGTTGCTACTGCCTACCAACTGGTGGTTAATTCAAATGTCTTTGTTTGCTTTTGTTTTTATTTTTATGAATAATAATGTCGAAAATATGTGTAATGTGTACGTGGGATAGGCTCTTTTATAATTTCATATTATTGGCAACATTTTCAGTGAGAGGTCACCAAAAAAGGAAGTAAAGCCACACAAAAATGACTTTATGGATGCATTTCTTGAGTTATCTTCTATTGTTCTACTTATAAACAGTGATTGTAATTTATTTAATGTGAAGCGAAGAAAGAAATGCTTCCGTTGTTCATTGATTTCGCGATCTATCTAAATGGTCTCTTTCACTTCAGTGGAAAATTCGTTTAATCAAGACATGACTGCAGCATTTCTGATATGTGTTTGTGTTCCCAATGAGGTAACACCACAATCGTATTACTTACTATATTTAAAAGCACTTTCATCATTTGTTTCTTTCACTCCTTAGAGTTTCTAGTGGAATACAGGGCCTCAAGCTTAAGCTTAGATATTTCAGTAGCGATGGTATTGCTTTCACAAAATCTGACTGCCAAACTTACACCCAACCATTCCTATTTTCGCGATTTACTACCAGCTAGGCGAGACTGAGAAGCATATTGATCAAGATTTGAAACTAGATCACTTTGTTTGTAATTGACGCACCAACTACCGCTGCAACCGTTAACATCACTCCACGAAATGAGTTACGCAGCGCTTTAGCAGCAGTCAATATTCGGCGTTAATCTTCACTGTTTAACTTAGCTGGTTATACTGCTGAAATAAAATCAGTTTGTACACCATGTTGTGTCACCTTCAGTTGTTTGTGCATGGTACCTAGTTAGTTAGGCGTAGATGTAGTATTCATTTAATAGTGTCAGTTCTAAAATATACTTATCATTTTTTATTTGGACTGGAAGACAGAACATGCGTACGACGGTTATTATCGTACTTATTATCTTCTTCATTGTGCTAAAAACTTAATTAAACTATTATAAATTATAATGAGTATCGTGAACCTGAAACATCAGTCATCAGACTCTATTTTATTATAAAAGAAAAACACAACAGAACTGAAAATAACAAACAGAACAACTTGTACTATTGTGATTAACTCACATGAGTAATTGCACTTTTAAAGATAACCGGTGTAAATGCACAACCTGTTTGACGAATTTCTCTCAATGGTTCAATAAGATATTGTAACCATAGTCTTACATTAGCTTTATATATCTCTTCAATATTACCAAATATCCATCCAGAATCTAAATTGTCAAATAAGTGTTCACGTATATCCAAAAATGGTGATAAATAAAACTAAAAATAAAATAAAATGATTAAAAAAAACAAGACACAAACTAGGTAACCAGGATGATGATAATAATAATATTTATACTTATTAGGTAATAAACACGAACTGCTATTGTGGCTGGCGAACATTCAACCGTTATCCTCCAGCAGACATTGGAATCCCATTCTGCATTCCGATTTTGGCTGGTAAGAGGTAGAAGATTGAGTGGCAGACTGGAAACTCTATCCCGTGAAAACAACACAGCAGCTACTGAAATTTCAAAAAGCCTTGAACCCTATGTTCCACTCAGGACGTAATGAAGACGAATAATCGCGGTAGGATTCAGAAGTGAACTGAATTTCCTTTGACAAACCTAGTCTTCATTCAGTTGACTATGTCTGTCAGAATGATTTAGCGTAGTCTCATATGATCTAACCGACGATTATGGACTGTGGCTTATAGGTTGAATAATAACAAAAATAGCAGTAGTGTGGCGTGTGCTGCTGACCAGATTTATCAGTGGTATATAAAGAGACGTTCATCAGCAGAAAAAATATCAAACAGTGGAGAGATGGATTTAAAGTTAAAGAGAGCAAATGAACCAGTGTTGCGGCAAAATATGGGAAGGCAAAGAAACATAAGAGGAAGGTTAGAAGTAGTAAAACATGGAAGATCCGTGCAAATGACGATTTTAATACATGGTATGCATAATTCCCCAATATGTATGCGTTACCAGACTCTGTTGTGTTTTACCGTTACAAATACTACGTAGGGTTTTTCGAATGACGAATGCCAGTAATCGCTGAACCCTTTTTTCGAAGTATCCAATGCACTACCCCAGCTTCGACAGTCTTTTTCAGTCTCAGAAAGGTACTGCAATGATGTGTCATACAGTTGCTTCACCTATAGGATCCTATCAAGGCTGAGAGAGTAGGCGACGTGTTTATTGAGCGCATGTCACTGTCATACGTATTCATAGTTAAATGAGAGAGGAAGGGTATCCCTACACATAAATTTCAGTTCACCTATCCATGTCTGACAGCTTCTGTATTCCCAGACCTTTGAATACAATGTTTTTTTTAATTTCACGTAATAATGTTTGTTCATGTTGATTATTTCTAACTGATTCAGATGAAGGAAAGAAGTTGTGTGAGTAACTTGATATGATTATGAGCAATAGTTTGTGCTCGAAACGTCATCAGTTAATATTACTGTACAACACTGTGATTTATCAAAATAAAATCTTAACCATTATGATTCAGATGAACTTGGTACAAATTACTTCAGGAATTTTCATTGATTCTAAGTTTGTTCACTAACTAACTTCAGCTAGAGATGCATTGAAAAGCAGAAGGGATTACTAAACAGCCGACTGGTACTCTCAAACAGTACGCATCCATGCCCCCACCAGTGATCGAGTCTAGGACATTCAGATTACAAAGCGAGAACGTAGACCGTTCAGTCACTGGGACGGAATACAACGGCCTGCTAATTCTAACTTCCTCCAAAACACTATATATATATATATATATACTGCATAACAGCTGCGGATAATAAAGTGCTCCCTCCCTTTCCATCTTCCTCGTAAGTGACTGTGATTCAAAACCAGAGAATAACAGTCAACCATTAGAAACACGTTCTGTGAGCATGACCATTCATCTTATGGCTTTTCAAATGGTAAAAAAGATCAATTTCACTGTAGGTTATCATGCTTATTAACATTCCATAAACACAGCTCACACACAGAGTGTGACAGCACATACACGCAAAGACTAAGAAACAAGTACACATTCTTTAGCGTACTTGAAATTGCTTTCTTGTGAATCATTTTTTAAGACGCCACACACATTTGTGACGCATATGCATTTGAGAAAAACAGACCAAAAATAAACAGTCAAATTCGTTTCTATTTTTGCTGCTTCTTATTGTTTGTTTTCAGCTTATAAGAAACAAAACAAAATCATTGTCAATCTCAATCAAAAACCAGTGACACATTGAATAGAGGCAAACATAAGTGTGATACACGTCAGAAGAGAGATACGAAATCACTTTTAGATGGAATGTATCAGTTAGTGTTGTCTAAATTTCCACTGATGAAATTTTTACACAGAAATCTTCACTTCTTTGTTTAACTTGATTTCCTATGAGTTGAATTCTATTGACATATCTATAATTCAATGACCGACGTTGGAATCAGAGTGAATTCACAGGTACATGCAACAGTTTATACTTGCTTCAATATCTTCTGCTGGCAGTTCACTACGAATAAGGAGACCAAAAGGCTTATGTATGTAGGTTGTATTGAATCCTTCCCATTCCTTGTGTCCCAAATGGCACATAAGGTTTAAAGCTTTTTTAGAGTTTCATTAGCTGTAGTGTCGATTTCACAGAGTGGGGTTGCTAACCTCATGAATATACTACGGGCTGGGTGGGGTAAAACGTGCGCTGGCCTGGAATCGAAACAAAACCTGTAGAGTGGCTGGTAAACATTCTAAAATCAGATCACCGACACACAGGTCCAGTTGTATTGGTGCATATATTTTTGTATCTAGTATATCCGGTTACGTGACGTAACATTACTCCATTGCAACTGCAGACTGCCTTATTATTTGTTCTCAGTAGAAACAGGATTTACTTGAATTAATTTTTGAAGAATAGCCAACATCTTATTGAACTTTCATCGGAACTCTCGATATGATTACAAAGTGTTATTCCATTCCTTAGCTTTCTGAATGCAACATAGGAGCTTTAAGCTTTGAGTTTTTTAGTTTCAGTAGAGATTTTATTGTTTTTATGGGATGTGATTTCTAGCCTGACACCCAACCTTCACTCTTTTTCAGACTTACTATCGCCTAAGTGAGGTATGGAATTGTGTCAATCAGAAGCCGAATCAGGACCATGTGCGTGATTGGTGAGTGAAGTCATTGTGGCCACAGCTTCACTGGAAGGCATTGTCAACAAACTGTTACTAAAGACTTAATTCAAAATATGCCTTCTATGTCGGGATGCTGAAGATTAGACGGATGGTGAGTCAGAAAGGATAATCAACGAGGAAATTTGGAGAGCGGCAAAATTACTACTCAGTAAATATGTAAAAAGAAGTGGAGACGTCTTGTATGTAGGCTGAAGAGATATTCAATTGACATCAAACGTCACGTAGGACCTCGATGCGAGCCAGAATGGCAAGCGATGAGCTGAGCATGGATCAGATAGTGATGCGAAGAATATCATGTGATAAGGAGAGAAATAGAAGCGTGTGGACAGTTGTAGAGCTCGGTGACCAGACCGAATGAACACATCTCCGAACCTTTGTGTTTCACTCGCCACTTATGGAATACACAATAACATTGATAACATCTACCACCAGTTACTTTCTATCATTCCATGAGCTTCAAGTAGAACAACCCTTCAGCTTTGAAGGTTCAGTAGCACTGATGTTTTTGCATCTGCGCTCACTACTGGAAAGAGAAGATTTAAAATCAAACCCAGGGCCTACCACGTCGCTACCAAGATGTCTACCACTGAACCAACCGTAAAAAACCCATCAATATCAGTAAAATTAAAACGAAAGTTAAACGAAAGCAGAAAAACAAAGGCGGCTGAGCTAAACTTTTAGGTAACAGGTGAATTATGAATAATAATAACAATTTGAGTAATGATAGTAATGATAATAGTGATAATAAAGCTTTCCAGATTGACTTACATCGATTATAGTCCGTAAATATTTTAAATAATTTGCCTCTGTATGAAAAAATTCCCAAATGGCTGATTGTCTTTTCTGCTGGTGTCTTGTCATTTGCTATAAATAGTACAGACAGGAAAAATGGAGATTTAAATATGTGGGATAAAATTTAAATAACTATTGAATAATAAATGGAAAATGAAATCATTTTCTTTCAAATGTCTTGAAATATAATGATCAGTGATGAGTTATAAGAAGCATGCAAATCTAGTTTTACAGCGTTCATGAAGGAATTTATGAGATAGTTTAAAACATTCATACATGTTATTGGTTCATTTAAGCTTTGCAAATAACTTTGCCAGCCTATGTTGATGATGATGGTATGTGGCAGTCATATCTAGTATATTTCATACAGTTGACCAGCATAGTTAATTGAATAATATCAATGTGATTCTTTGAGGAATAGATAAACTAAGAGCATTAGTCAAACAGTTCAAGAACGTATTGCGTGCCAATGAATGCAATAACATTCCCACGAGATTTCGAAATATTAAATAATTCCATAGAAAAATTTAGAACAACACATATAAGCGAATAATATTGTTTTCAATTAAATCTTCTCAGGCTTAACTCTAGTATACCTACTTAACTACGAAAATCAATTATGGTGATTTGTCAATACAGTGATAAGCTTGTGCATAATAATAACGATTCTATTAATAAAGATGAAAAATTTGAGCAATTTGTAATAACGAGAGAAGTGAAAAACAGCATGATGAAATATGAAATCAATGACTTGGGAATTCCCCTGTCTAGCCTCAAAGAACTACTCCTTAAAGGTACAATGAGTGTACATTTTATCTTCAGTAATTCACATTACCAACGAGTAGATAAAATCACTATGAGTTCACCATTAGGCACGATCTTAGCCGACTTCTTCCTTGCAAAACTTGAAAACGCGTGATTCAAAGATGTCATCAATGAGTAGGATATGCGTCACCGTTAATGTCAATGACACATTTATGTTAGTTGGTGAGAATGTAAACATGAATGAATTGTTCATGAAATTCGACAACTTCCACCCTTCGATTACTTCAACACTGCACTCTCTGGATATCTTGTTAGGCGGGCGAGAAGATGGGGCACATAAGAGAAGCGTGTATAAGAAAAGCTTGTTCACACGGCAATACAGGCATTTCCTTAGGTATGTGCCCAGTAAATATTTTAAAAAATACTGTCAAGTGTCTTATGAGGAGAGCAATAAGGATATTTACGGAAGATCGCTTAAATAATTCCTCGACTAAGATGGGTTAGCCGAATAGTTTCATAAAGAAACATGACAGTATTAGATAGAAAATCTGGAACGATAACAGCACGGAGGAAACCATTATTTACTAAATTACAATTTAATGAGGATTTATCGAGTGAGATTCAGCTCCAGAAATTAAGTGTGAGTCTATGGAGAAAACTTTGCACAGCAAACCTGTTTGTAATTCTCCAGTTGACGGATGATTGCAACTCAAACGAAGGACAAGCTGGGTAGTTTTGCCACACCTGTGTGCATTTATCCATTCAGCTACTCCTGTAGAGGCATTTATATTAGACACACTACTAAACATTTTAATCAGTGTGTTGCTGAATATCTTCCGTCGTGCTTTGACAAAGGGCAGATGAAAATCACCCGTAGCTCCGTTTTGTCACATTTAATAGATAGTGGTCATTTAGTGGAAAAGACGAAAGCATTGAGGGTGATTCATCGTATCCCACCGAATGTCTCCAATGGACTCCGTATTTGTCTACTACATATATCTGAGGCTACAGGCATTCAAGCTATTAAGCCTAGACTATACATTCAGAAGAAGTCCCTGCAGTCATTATCCTTCCCTTGGCCAATTAAAACCTAACCAACTGACAGTATCACAACAACTGCCATTTATATTTATAATCCCTTTCTTATCATCTTATCATATCTTCAATAAAACTTAGTTTATTTACTACCCTTATCATTCTGGGTAGAAGAAATAGCTTCCGCGGCGCATCTCCATTCCACTTGGTGCTTACTCATCATATTCACCCGATTCCATGACTGCCCACAATATTTTATTTCCTCTTCCCGTGACTCCCCTTATGTTAACCTTGGACCTACGCTAAACTCACTACTTCATATCAGGATTTAAAGGCCAACCTGGCGTGTTATGTCAACTGAATGTCTCCTAAGCGTGTGTCCGACCCATCTCCACTCGCTTCAGCACATTATTTGTTGTCTAGTTCTATGACTGCCACACTTACTTGTTGATTATTCCTTGCTATCGGTCATCTGATCTTCAGGTAGCTGCTGATGTAAGTCTTCAATAGCTGTTGTCTCCAAGATTCTGTACAGCACAATAAGGCTAACTGACTTGACATTAGCATTGAAAATTAAGACCTTTCTCGTTGTTCTGAGTGCAATGGTTTTTAACACCGATTTTACATCAGTTCTACCTGCAGTTATGTATCATGAGAGAATCTAAACCATTGGTGACATGTGGGCGTTATGAGAGTCAGGCAGTAAATGGCAATGGTACCAAAGCCAGTGTAAGCCAATGATTTGAAGTTAACAAAACCTGTACTTAAAAATCTTCAACTGATAAATTTAAATCCTTAGTGGAACTGTTCAACAATACACCAAGCATATCCAAAGGAGTTCTATTACTTAAAATATGATAAAGGGACCAAATAATTCCATCAAGCCACAAGTGTTTTTTGAAACACATAATACTGAACTAGTTTTGTTCTCTAAGCTGGTTAACTTAATCGGAAAGCTTTCGTCGTCCTTCTAGACAACATCTTCAGTGCAAGTTTCAGTATAAAATGAACTTATTTGAAGTCTTCATGAATGATGTAGCTGTATCTCCTGACAACCACTCTCATGACTGGTTGTTAATTTGATATACATCTCTATTGATCATGTGCTTTCTAATGGTTGACTTGGAATTCGAACTTTCTTTTCATGTTTGATTCACCTTTTTATTAGCTGGTAAATTCGGTCTGATTGTGCTGGCTTCTGTGGACACCAATTTGATTGGAATAATTTAGGAATTTTAAAAAGAGGAAACACCAAAAATGCAGTCAGGGAATTTCCAGAAGCCTGGTTCTCAAGTGAACTAGCAATTAGCCAACAAATTACACTTCAGACCGAATTTACCAGCTAATAAAAAGGTGAATCAAACATGAAAAGAAAGTTCGAATTCCAAGTCAACCATTAGAAAGCACATGATCAATAGAGATGTATATCAAATTAACAACCAGTCATGAGAGTGGTTGTCAGGAGATACAGCTACATCATTCATGAAGACTTCAAATAAGTTCATTTTATACTGAAACTTGCACTGAAGATGTTGTCTAGAAGGACGACGAAAGCTTCCCGATTAAGTTAACCAGCTTAGAGAACACAACTAATTCAATATCATTCACCTGAGCTACAAATCGCCTTCATTATTCCGGAACACATTATGTTAAAAATAAAAGAGAACTTACCGCAGATGACTGAACAATCTGCTCCCAAGATTCTTCAATATAGAACAAATCGTTTAATTCTTGACTATCGAATTCTTGGCTGATAGACATTCTGTGGTGACCGCTTTCAACACGGGAATATGAACTGGACTTATTACGTATCATCTCTTCACCAGCAGTCATTGTAATCGGTGAGGTGACAGTGCTAGATATTACGTTGGTGGTATTGGTAATAGGTGTGATTACAGACTGTGGTGAACTACAATCGGAGGTTGTACGTCGTCTAGGAAATAACTGTTCAACTCGATTTGAGTCTAGCTCATTTAAGCACTCGTTTACTAACTGATCAGCCAATGATAATTGGGGAATGGGTGTAGTATTCTTTTTATAGAAGTTGAACCACTGCTTCAATGCATCCGAGGTATCCTTCAATAAATACGAAAGCACGCAAAAAATGTAATATAAAACAGTGTAGGTTCAATTGAGTAAGCAATGGATTTTTTAAATAATCACATGTACTGCAATTGATGTAAGAGGTTACATATTGATAAGAAAAAGTTGCCTATTATCACCGATGATATCACAGACTGCAGTGCACCGGATCCTGCAGCAGGCGAAGACCAGCAAGATGGTAGAAGAATCGGTGAAGTCAAGACTTCAAGTGATCATAAAGAAGACAGGGGCGATGAAGGTACCTAATTGACAACGACAACAATAACAAGCACCAATCACCATCATGGGGAGAAATTTGAAGGGAGTCACCTATTTCATTTATCTAGGCAGTTAAATTTCAACTAAAAGCGGCTTAAATCAGGATCTGAACTCTGTTGTTATATAATGAACCCCTATGGGTTCGCACTCTCTGTGAATACCAAATCAGGACGAAACAACTGTCCAGTACACCCTGTTTGTTTTCAGTGCTTCTTTGTTGTTTTTTTCGTTTTATTCCTTTGCGTTCTCAGTGGAATATAGGGCTTCAAACTAGAGCTTTGAAGTTTCGGTGGCAGTGGTATTTATTTTTACGGGTTGTTAGACTCATGCCCAACCTTCCCTCTTCACCAGTCCTATCACTAGCTTAGCGAGGTGAAGGAGTGCGTTAGGTGGGGATCCAACCTCAAAACATCTCACCCTTTTACCTTAGGTGGGCGTGGTGGCATACATCTGTAATCTCGCTACCTAGAGGCTAGGGTGCGGGATTTCGTGAGACCGGGAGTTTTGGCATATGGGTGCCCATGTTGGTCCGGCGTCCATGCTAAGCACGGCATCCATATGGATGACCTGTCGGATGACGGGTTGTCCAGGTCAACTAGGGAGGGACCAGTGCTTCCCTAGTTGATATCGGTTCGGGGTCAAACTTGAGGCAGTATTTCAGCAGTACTGATCAATTCTCTGCTTATCACTGGGACACATGATAAAAGTCCAACTGACTGACTAACACTAATAATTATTAGTAATAATCAAATGAATAGTTTCACTGTCTACAGAGCTGATTTTCTTAACTAAGCATTACATTCAGCTAAGAAATACTAACACTCTGCACTACAATATATGCATGGAAAAGACATATTTTTCAGTAGTTTGCCAAACATCATGTTAGCGTTTAGATGTACAGATATCATTCTGTGTATCCTACTGCGAATGGCAGGAAAAGAAAAAATAAATACACATATCATCAGTGCCTTGTTATCTATCTCGCACATACATCAGAAATATAATCTCTGAGTATCAAACGACGTTTAGCAAAAAAGCAACTGCGGATAACTAAGAATTCAAGGGGATCAATAGTACATTCAGTCAAATGTTATGCCTTTTGTCACATGACAACTGCAATGGATGAAAACAGATTAGTGTGATAACTTATGAAATGTTAACAGATGACAGAGAAATGTCAGATAGGTTTAAAAATAGCGCAGTAAATTTCTTTATTCAAAATGCTATAGATATATTATTATAGATGCATATATCTGAAATTGCTGCTTTTCAGTCTGTCTAAATTAACATTTGCCTATTCAAATAAGGGGGGGATGAACAGAAATATTCTATGCATAAATATGCGAAATGAACAGATAAAAATGTAAAATAGGTATTGTGTAACATTCCACACGATATATTTGTCACTCAGAAAGTTTCCAGTTCCCAATCCCCTCCCATACCAGAAAAATGTATTTTCCTATTTTCCCAAGTTTTGTGATTTGCACATTTAACAATAAAATCTTCCTCTTTCCTTATTTTTTCTGAACTGCTAACGAATACAGTTTAAAACTCGTAGGATTTTTGAAATATTTCTCTTCACCGTGGCGTGAAGATTGAAAATACTTTATTGTAAAATATATATTTATCTGTATCCGATTTTTCAACGTTAATGAAAACATACGTCCGACATTAGACTATTGATTATTTGTGGTAGCTAACTGAGTGGAAACGAAAAAGGACATTAAACAGAGGACTGAAGAAAGACTACTTTTATTCTCTGAGAGAATGAATGAGATAGGGATAAGACTGCAGTCTTTGTTTGTGTGGTAATAGTCAGTGTCTTCACGAAAAGAAATCGATTCATGTCTAACTTGATTATAGAAGCTATAAACTAATCTGATTTTCTAGCCAGTTATAAGTCTGGAGAACAGAAAGTTTCAACACGCACTAGCAATTTCACCTCTAAATAAAAACTGTTTTCAACAGAAACACAAAAGCGTAGAAAAAATCAGTTTGATCTTCCCTGGAATCAGAAAGAATCCTCAACCAGAGAACGGATGACACAAGCGGGTAAAAGCCAGTCGACTAACAAATCTTTCCACGAATAGCACTCTAAGGACATTCAGAAGCTGGTACAGGAGTTTACTATGGTGGGGCAGTACAGAGATGAATAAGCTTGGGAAACATTGGGTAAAGCCAACAGACCACTGAACAAAAGAGTGAACACGAGCTCTAGGAAAAACGGATAGGCTCTAACTTCAAACTAGCAACTAAATAAATAAATAAAAGAGGCTACATGAGATAGAGAACCCAGAACACTGTGTCGAATAACTACATCGATATCCGGGCGGAGATAAAGATAGATGAAACCAGTGAAAGATAGTGAAAGGAACTCAAGTAATACAAAGGATAACAGAGTTTATCCTTGTCTAGTCACCTTAGACTTAACTAATGCAGAAGTTTTGAAGCCCCATCAATTTAATTAAACCGATAGCGGCCAAATGACCAGAAAGAATACCCCACAAAAACTGAAGACCGACAAAGAGACTTCAGTGGACATGCTCCCGCCACTACTGCAGAAAATGTGCATGGAGGAAGGGTACCTAACGATGTGAATTAAAACCACCTTGTCAAACTTCCGAAGAGTAGTAACTTCAGACTACACAAAAACTTGCCTCAGATGGAAGGTTTCACCCGGATAATGCTAAGCTTAGGGAAAACAAGTCATGAGCGGATCAAGTTACTACACAACACATCATCACAGAACAGAGGCTGTAATGATAATCAACTTTTTAACTAAATTTCATCACTTTTAGAAAAAACCACGGATTTCGATGCTGTAAACTTTATGAGCCTCATTGAACCGCTGCTATATGAACACGTCACATGCCAAGCAATTCACAACAGTTGATTAAGTGAAGCTGTTGAAGTGAAGACATGATTAAGAGAAGGTCGCCGTGTATAGCTGATAACTGTGTTAAACTGGATGATACGGAAGGCAGTAGAGAGTGAGAATTCAGGCACACGCTAGATTCCCGTAAAGATTCCATATCATTCAGTTATCTCAGTGGGTCACTAAATGTACTCACATAAATATTGGCTTATTGCTGAGCATTTCTTGGCGACGAAAGAAAAATACCGGACGGAATTAGTTTATTCTTCAGATCAAACAGGATTACAACACATAATGTTCCTCAGATTACTATTTTACGTGAAGGTCCTGGATGAAGAAAAAATATTATGCAATAAACTACGCTGAAGATTCAGTATGTTGTGTAAACTTTTTTGCAGAACAAAGTTGTTATTGTCATTATCGTTTTAAAAATTAAATGGGTACTAGACATGAATCACGCGTCTTGGCAACCTCAGTCTATGGAGTCATATCATCATCTCATCAAGGAACACTTGATGCTTATTTTTAACAGTGGTCACTGGTGTTGTTTTATTCTATTTAGAGCAGGGCGATGAAGCATTTCATAAATTTTTATAATAGTTGTTCTGTACATTATTGAGACTGCATCGCGGTATCAATGGTTTTTGCCTGCTTACTCATAGGATATTGTTATTATTTCCTTGGGTTTGGAGTAGAGTATATGGCTTCAACGGTCCGTTGCTACTTCAATTGGTTCTTTGAAGTTTTATTGATATAAGTATCAAAATAAAATCTCATTCTTTGAAGTTTCTTAAGCTGTCATGATAGTGTATCTACTGTAAGCTTTCATCTCTTCCAAACCCAACTCATCCTTTCTCACTCACGTTCCACTAGAGCGATGGCCTGCCACGGAATGTCTTTCAACGGTCTCTTCAGCTTATGTCCGACCCATCACCATTTCCTTCTGTATATTTGTTCAGTGATGGAATCTTGGTTTGTTAGCTATCTGTCGGAGCTCTTTATTGATTATCCCCCTGATCGGTCATCTGATCTTCAGTGTTGAGACAGGAAAGTTAGCTGTTGATGAGAGTTTGCGGTAGCCTGTTGGGACAGCTTCTAGTGACGCGCTAAGTCTATGAACCATTTAGAAGGACTGATTTCAATTTGGCGTTGTATGATCCAGTTCTTTCAATTATATCTTTAAATTGCCACATGAACTCGTGCAAAATTGTATTCGGCTTTCAACCTATAGCTCAGCATTTCATGAAGGAAATGGAGAAAATCTATCGTAAAGGACTGAGTGCGGTTTTGGACAGAATGATTTTGCGTCATTTGAAATGCTGTCTATGAGTTTTTTTACCTGAAGATTCTTTACGGAGAGTAAATATCTTGCAAAGACATTAAGCAGAGATTTCTGTATTGTTTGTAAACACAATTTCCAGAATCAAGCTATTATAATTGTCATTATTATTACTATTATTATTAATATGGCGGCGTATGTGATGAGTGTAGTCTATTAATAAACAGAATTGTTCAGATTGTCTTTTAATCTGAATTTAAAATCTTAAAAGAATTTGAATGACTTTTTCAACTTCTAGAGTGTTCAACATTCAATGGACTTTTCTTTCTCTCGGTAACCAAAACTTTTTAATCTACCTATTGGCATGGTGATAGATACCACTATAATGAAAAAGAATCAAACATATTGTGTGATCATGGTGCGATGATAAAGAAAAAAGAGTAGTAACTAGACTCACTCCTTCTCTCCCCACTCCCACGCACAGTTTTTTATTTTTATCTGAAGCAATCGATTTTAAGTGAAATTGTATTCGTCATTTCTGAAAAATCAAATTTTGTTCAT